CTGCTGCCCCCGCCGCTGCCGCTCCTGCTGCGCGGGGCCGGGCGCGGGCCGCAGCCGCAGGCCGTCGGGGTGGAAGCGGCAGAGGGCGCCAAGGCAGGCGGTCACGAGCTGGGGGGAGGCGGCCAGGGCGTCGTACCAACCCTCAGAAAGCCGCGCGACATCCTGCCAGCTGCGCGCGTCGAGGCGCAGGTGCTGCGCCAGCAGCTGCGCCACCTGGCGTTTGTGTGTGTGTGTGTGTGTGTGTGTGTGTGTGTGTGTGTGGGTGTGTGTGTACTGTTGTGTGTGCGTGCGCGAGCATGTGGGTGTGTACGCGAGGCAGGGGTGCGCTTGCCTACGTGCGTGCCAACTGGACTGTGGCGAAGGGACGAGGCAAGCAACAGGGCAAAAGTAGTGAGGAGAATGGGGAGGCGCGGCCGGCAAAACGGCACAAGACGAGCTCCCCGGCGTCCCAGGCGTGCGGCCTGCAGGAGTCGGCTCCCCCGCGCGCCCCGCCTCGCGGGGGGGCGCCCGTCGACGCGCGCGCGTCACGCCGCGCGGCGCACCTGCGCGCGCGTCTTCGGGTCGCTGGGGCCGCCCTGCGCCGCTGCGTGCTCGACCAGCCACGCGGCGCGCGCGAGCGGCGGCGCCGCGCGCCAGGCGTAGCCCCACGGCTTGCTGATCGGCGGGTACCTGGGTGGCAGGTTTACCGGGGGGTTTGGTGGTTTCGGGGCAGAGGAATGAGGTGCGAGCTGTAAGCAAAAAACAGGCAGGAGCAGGTGGGACGAGGGAGGGCAAGGCGGGAGGCTTCGGGTGTGGCCGCTGTATGATACGAAAGCAGCGGGTTCGGCGGCCCGTCAATAGGCGGAGAGGCGGGCGCCGTCGGCGGCGAAGCGAGGGGCTTGCGGCGCCGCGCCGACTCACGTTATGGCATCCCCGGGGCCGTCCTTTGGGGCGTCGCCCGGCGCGGGCGGCGGCGGGGCCCTCAGCTGCGATAGCAATCCCTCCAGGCTCTCCCCGCGCCACGCCTCCCGCCCGCCCGCGGTCTGAGTTTGCTGCTGCTGCTGCTGTTGCTGCTGCTGTTGCTGCTGCTGGTGCTGCTGCTGCTGCTGCTGCTGCTGCTGCTGCTGCTGCTGCTGCTGCTGCTGCCGCCGCCGTCGCTCTGGCCGCCGCGGGCCGCCGGCGGCGGCGCCGGCCGCGGCGCCGCGCCACTGCGGCCGCTGCTGCGGGGTCGATGGGCCTAGGGGGAGGGCCGGCCCCGTGATGACGTCACCCCCCACCGCAGCCTCCCCCTGCTGCTCCTGCTGGATGTCAAGCGCCGGGCCTGCCCCTGGCGCAGCAGGCGGCGCGTCGAGCTCGAGCGCCGCCCGCGTCCGCTGCCGCTGCTGCTGCCGTGCCCGCTGCCGCAGCGGCTGCATCGGACGCACGCGGTAGCCGCTGCGCAGCCACCGGGCCGTCGTGGGGACCATCCATCTGCGCCTGCGGGCGGCGCTTGCGCCCCCCGCTGCGCCCAGGCGACCCAAGGAGCCTCTCGCGCGCCGCAGGCGCGAGGACGGCGCCCCCGCGCCCGCGCCGTGCGCCCCCTTGCCCCCGGGGCCGGCCGGCGGCGGGCGCGCTCCGCCGCCCCGGCGCCCCTGCCACGGCGGCCGGAATGGCACCTGCTGGCTGCTAGAGCTGCCGGCAATGGCGCGGATTAGAGGGTCAAACTGCAGGACTTCAAATCGAGCGCCCTCGCCGCCGCCGCCGCCGCTGCTCCTAATCGCATCCCGCGAGTCGCCGGCGGCGGGCGCGGCCCACGGGCGAGGAGGGATGGGCGGAGGCGCGTCTGCCGCGGCCGCACGGGCGCCGCTGTCAGTATGCTGTCCGTCTGATGCGTCTGCTTGCGGCCGGAGCGAGCCGAGCTCCGCCGCTGCGGCGCAGCAGGGCGCCGCGCGGCGCCCGGCGACGCGGCGGGCGCCTTTCAGAAGGCAGCCATTGCCAAGGGGCGCCCCCCAGGGTGCCTCTGTTGAGCGGATGCAACGCTTTGCTGCGGTGTCCGGCGACGCGCTGGGCGGCGCTCCTGGGAGGCGCGCGGCGCGGCCACACTGCAGCATGTGGGCTGGCGCGCTGCAGCGGAGCAGCAGCCGACTACTTGTGCGCCGCCGTGCGGCTGCGAACGAGCTATGATACTGCAGCTATATAAAGCAAAATGATATGCACATTGGCTTGATTTCAGCGACAATGTGCATTCCTTCAACAATCAGAGCGCCAGGGCTTCGCAGGCCGTTCCGTCCAGCACACCAATAAGATAACGAGTTTTGCAGCAATTCTCATCCCGAGCGTCTCTGGGTTCGTAGGTGCCGTGTTGCGCTTTGGCCGTCGATCACTCGGCCGGTGTGTACTGTCCCACACCCGACTGTGGTCTGTCCCAATCCAAACCTTGCCACACACGTTTCGTCAAGTCACACGGCGGGCCCACCACTAATGCCACACTAGTGTATAAAATTTCTATTGTATCAAACACCTGACAGCAAGGTAGGGGCGTCGGCCATGCGCAGGTTGGTTGGTGCAATTCACATTGGAAAACGGCGTACAGATGCAGCAACAAACCAGCAAACCCAGCAGCCCCCGGCATCCACGGGCGTTCCTCTTGAAAAATGCAAAACTAACTAGTCACAACAGCTTTGCATCATTTCACAGACCCAACCATTGACCTTCCGCCTGGCTGCAGGCCTGCGCCGCCCATTACCCCCTTGCCTGTACCGCGCAGGAGGGGGCATGCAGCCAGCGAACCCCCGCATCGTGCTCCGTCCGCACGTGCGCACTGCTGCTCGCACGGAACGCTCAAGTGGCGCAGCGCGGACCGATTCGCGCTTCGGGCAGGCATCCATCCACGCCACATAGCCGGCCACTCCTGCCGCAGCCACTGCGAATACATGGGCGCGCCCCTGCAGACGCCGTGCTGCGGGGAGGCGTGCAAGGGACTCGTGATGGTGGTAGCAGCAGGGGCCTGTCCCGCAACCCCGAGGCCCCGCCGACGTTCGCGCACGGCCGCCCCAACAGGGCTGCTCCGCCGTGGCCTGCCGGCGCCGCAGCAGTGCTCGGCGCCGCGGCGCAGTCAGGGACGGACCTCGCAGTGGTCGCCCACCACGCCGCTCGGCATGCCACAAGGCGACCAAGGCGAACGCCAAGGCCGCCGCAAGCAGCCTGCCCCGCTCTTGCCCGGGACAAGCGAGGACCCAGCCGCCCAAGCAAACGCCCCTTCCGCACATGCCACCCAACAGCACCCTTGCTGGCCCTCCATCCACCATCCCACCGCGCAGTGTCCCTCTCACCGACAAGCCCAGCCGACCCGCCCTTTGCTACACCACACGTTGCCAGAAGCGAGGGGAAACCCTGGCTCTCTATGGGGTTCCCGCCCCCAACCTTGCTGGCCAAAGGAGCAACCTCCCCTTGATCACCCGCCCACCACCATCCGAGCGCCCCTTTCTCGCCCCTCAACCCCAGCCCACCCCCCCGGCCTCGCCCCTGCCACGAACCATGCGCGCGACCAGCGGCCCCTGGCAGAGACCCGGGCGCAGCCGGCAAGAGGCGGCGGGACGCGCGCTTGCCTCGGCTTGCGCGGCTGCTTGCAGGAGGCGGCCCGCGCGACCGCGCGGCTGCAGAGAGTGCAAGATGCCAGCGTTACAGCGTCCGAAAAAAATTCCGTGGCCGCGCGAATGTCATTGCATCGTCTGCATTCCCACCGGCAGAGCATCCATCGGGCATAACAACGCCGGCGCCGGCCGGGCGCAGGGGGCCGATCGTCGGCGTCCAAAGGCGAGCAGTGACTCAGTGACGCGGCCGGGGAGAAGGAGCGCATGCACGCGCATCAACAAACGCGCGTTGGCATCGGAAAGGAAAGTCGCATGGCGGGCCCACGTGAATGTGTGTGCGCCTTTGGGGGTGAGTGCCGACCGGGGAAGGGCGTGGTTGCTGCCCCGAAGTGGAGCGGCCATCAGCACCAAGGAAAAATCGCCCCGCAAGTGAGTAATCGGTTGGCGTCAGAAGGCGCCCCGCGCGGGCGCGTCGCGCGCACGCAGCGGCATGCAGTGTTCCCTGTTTGGACAATGCTCGGCAGTTTTTTTGGAGGTGGCTCCCAATTTTTGTGCGACGAAGCAGTTCTTCCCTCAGGCCAAGTTCGGCGAGCGGCAGCGGCCGCGGGGGCCCGACGACGCACTGCGTGGCACCCAGGCGGATGCCACCAGCAGGCGGCGCAAATACAGGCACCAGCCCGTGCACAGGCCGCGCCACGCCGCCGCGGCACTCGTGCGCTCGGCCGCGCCGCGGCCAGCTTTGGGCGGCCCTGCCCCGCGCCACGCGGCCGCGCGTGATCGCGGCGCTCAGCCCTGGTTGTGGGTCCGCTGCCTGCTGCGTGGGCGTACAGATGAAAGCGCCGGTGCGGGCGCACGCGCAGTGCCCGGCTTGGCCCCGCTGCAGGGCAGGGAGCCGCGCCAGAACCAAGCGCGGGCGCGACCCCTGCCAGAAGCCGGGCAGCTGTGAGCACATCTGAAGGCGCTCAGGGCGCGCGAATTGGGCAATCTTAATCACATCATCTTCATTTTGTCACGAGCGGTGCACATCTCTGCAAATCTTGCGTCCCCTGCCGCGGGCAAAAAAAAGCCCTGCAAGACTGGACGCCCGGCTGCCCCGCGGCGCGTCGCCCGGGCGGCGGCCCTCGGGCACGCCCCTAGCCTTGCCTTTGCACGGCACGCGCCCTGGAGCCGCCGGCGCCGCGGCCGTGCGGCCGGCCGCGCAGGCGGCGGCGGCGTACGGGGGCGAGAGTGACCCTGTGAGCAGGCAGCACGCGGCCTATGAGCCGTGCTGGCGCTCGGCTTGGTCTGCGAGGGCGGCCAGGCGGGCTGACAGCGCACGGAGGCCGCCCACAGACAGCAAAGTGGACAAGTCCTGCGCCAGCGCGTCCACCGAGCTGCCACCCGCGCCCGCGCGCAACGGCGG